TAATATAGTAAGATTAGACCACACTCATTACAAACTTGGTAAACTTTTAAAAACAGCGGTTCACAGCTGCACTAAATGTCCCTAGATTTTATTAAGAGAGAGTTGAAGTGTGATTGTTTTTTTCACAGCCTTCATCTGAGGGAACGGCAGATATTAGTTTTCTTGACATGGGTCAGTAATTTTGGCACTTCGCTCCTTTCAGACTGAGTTAAACACGCTTTTAAATAGATGGATGTGGCCTATTCATAGAGCTCATTTCCTTACTAAGGACTGCAAATGAAATTATGCACTTGCTCTCTAAAGGTCTCAAAGATATTTTCACAAGTTCACATATTTAAAAAGAAAGCAAAGCCTGATCCTACACACCAGAGATAAATTCTCTGAGAGGATTACAGAGTGATGCTTTGTATTTTGTGACCTCTTTACTACTAACATATGTTCAAGAGGAAATTGGGAGTGATTTCCAACTTCTCTCCTTTGCCCATTTCCTCCCTCTTTTCTCCCCATTACGCATGGACACCTTTAAGAGTGTAAATTGCATTTTCCTCCACTTCCTTCTCAATTTAGACTCTCTCTTTCCTGAAGAGATTTTATCTCTTTAGCTCATGTGAAATAATCCTTCACGCATATTTTACATCAATTCCTCCCTTCATTACTGCCTAACATAGCACATTCATGTAAATGTTATTATTTTTAATAAGTTCACGTTAACTTATTAAATACTTATATTGTATTTCAAAAATTAGATTAAGAAACAAGATTTAGTTATCAGTATCTTCCTGCTTCTCACTGATATCAATTTAGTTCCAAAGCAAAGCAAAATATTTAGAAATCTTAACTAAAATTACAGTAGATATGCCCCATGGCTTTTTTCTTTCATATTTCTATTTAATTGATATAATATAGTCTAACTCCAAGCCAAATCAAAGTGAACAGTTTCTAGTAACACATTTCTTTTATATGTGTGCTTAAATAGTGATAAATCTGGTCTTCTTTTTTATTTTGGTAAGGGTATCCTACTAAATATAGCTACATTATATAGTGCGGAAGAAAACAAGTAATACTTTGTGATTTGGACAGAGAAAAGAACCAAAACTGCCTGAAATTGGTAAGAATTGACAATGTTTTCGATGATATTTTCCTTTTCATTAAAAAGCAACAAATATCTTCTGACGCCAGCACCCTCAACTTGAAAGGGAATCTGCGACAGAACAGCGAACATGAACAACAACAAACTCGTTTATAACCGGTGACAACCAAAACCTATGAAGTTTTTAAAAGAATGTGATTGTTGTCAGAAGGAATCGGGTCCCACGGTGCAGCGTTCAGCTCTGGTTGCACTCAAAGCTGTGGCCCAGGGGCGCGGGCAGCGCTCCTCCAAGCCTGGTGGGCACAGACCAGCAAGAAAGTGAATTCTGCATACTGCACAGATCATCGCTCAGTTCAGGGCAGTCAGATTGCATCTGGGATCAACCACTTGTGCTTCATGAAACCGTCAGCCCTCATTTGTGTCTAGCTGTTTTCTTCTGTCCGGCTGTAAACAAGGCCGACTCGGAGTTGTGTCCCCCCTCGTCACGTGCACGGGACGATCGCGCAGTCAGACCTACTCAGCGGCCTCAGAGCTAAAGTTAAGGTTACGTCTTGCAGACAGCAGTTCCAGTGCACACCGGGAAGTCACAAAAGGGAGCAACTTTGGAATGACCGAGTTAGGGTCCCTTTTCAGAAACGCCTACCTTAGATTCCTACACGTACTGGCGTGGCATGTCTGTTCCGTGAAATTAATGTAGGTGTTCCCAACAAGAGCAACTGTTTTTTTCCGCAGACTAGCTCAGCAGATTTATCGCGTTAGGAAAGAGGGGGTGGTGGTGACCGTTTTTGTTGTTTCCCTGCTCTGGGGCTTTGCTTGGATCAGCCAAAAAAAGACATGGATAGAAATACTGTCAATCTGGTCCACCTCCAGGAACCCACTCATGCCTGAATCGCTCGGAGGAGTGTAATGATGGTAAACAGTAACAGGTATGTTGGCATCTGTTCTCATCCACTTCGGCCATAGTGTCTCCTTTACAGTCAAGCAAAATACGGTTTTGAAGGAACGTCATCTCCATAATAAAAGGTAGGGGCTGTTACTGAAGCCGTTTTCCTTGGCAAGTGGCATAAAGGTAATATTTAGTATTCACTACAGAGAATTCTCCCAGCCAGCTGGTGTGTCCCTGTTAAGACTTTCATTTATGCAGCTTGAGCTGGAACCTTTTTTGTTCTCCCAGTCTATTACTTTGTCGATTTAAGGGATAACAGCCAAAGTGAAACAGCTTGCAATTTGCACCTGTCTGCTCTAAGCGTTCCACGTTCGATTAGTGGAGAGCAAACTCTTTGCTGCTAATGAGAATAAGGCTGGGCAGGGCTGAATGCCGTTTTGTTGGGGGGCTTTCATAGGATATTTCAGTGGCTTTTTTTTCTCTTGTAAATAATCTGATAGGGACCTCCCTATTTTCACGTTTTAGAGTCCCTAAAATAAAAAAATAAAATTTTTAAAAATGTAACGTGTATTTTTTAAAGAGAATTTTAAATGTCATTTAACTAAGAATTGAATTAATATTCAGCCTGAAGTTGCCTCGGATAAGAAAGACAAAATTTAAATGCTAAATTACTTCCAAGTCATTGTAAGCATAAAATACCTATAGAGACCTTTAATCTGTAAAATTGGCCATGCCAAAAGTAGATAAAAAAGTTTTTAGACATGTTTCAGAAACAGTACCAGTTTTGGAAATAATGTCAAGTGCTTGAAACTAAATCAAAGTTCTCTGCTTATATTGTCCTTGAAAATGTAATGACTGAATAAACGATAAAAATTTAAATGGATGACTTGAAAATCATATCTAGGTATGGACACATTTAGCTAGCTCATCATCATGTGAATCACAGAATAAACTCTCCACAAATGCAAAAATGTCAGCACAAAGGATTCTCTCCAACCTTTTCTAGAAGTTCTCTGCATCCCCCTTAGCTCTGATTCCTTTGAGGGATTGTATCAGTGGGCTATCATCTATTTTTAAAGGATTTAAATTAAACTCATTGCAATGAAAGAACTTTAATTAAGACAGAATATTTTCTCAAACCTTGTGTATTTCTAAAAATATCTTCATAATAAAGTTTGAAAATTTGGCAAAATATCCTTGAAGATGATCCAAAATTTAGCAAATTAACAAAATACATATTTTGTTAATCAAAGGGTCAGTGATACATTTGGATTCCAAAGATTTCTTGCATTGGCACCTCCTGTGGAAATAACAACTGCTATGATGATAGGTTAAATGAAGCTGAGGTGGGCACAAACGTGGTCTCATTAGTAACTACTATAGTTTAATATGGTCGTTGGCCCACATCTCGCCTGACAGATAACGTGCCGGCTTGTCAGTGATGGACCCTTTCAGCACAGCTTTCGGAGTTGTGCCAGCCATCGCTGAGACTGGTTAGGTCAAAGGGTTGAGCCATGTGTAATTCAGAACAGAGGAGGTCCCACGGTCACTCCACAAAAACAATTACACTACTTATTTCACTCTAGCCCTTGCCCAAAACTCACAGGCCTCACAGTTTCAGTGCAGTCAATCTAATTCTGCCCCTGGGCGATAAGCCACATGGAAATATGTGGTGCTGTGTTTATAAATCTAATCAAAAATAGAAACAGTGGACAGGCACAATGAGGTCCTACTATGGATCATGGGAACCCTTGGAAGCTCTGAAGGCACTTTTGTTTAACTCCTATAGACGCTCTTCTGCTATCACATTGTGTGCTGCACTCGTTAATCATCCTCTTTACTCGTGCCTGCTACAGGGGAGACTAAAGTTCTACTCACTTCTATACTTTCTGCCCATGGATAATATTATGAAAAATAAAGCTTAAAAGGCTGCATTTAAAGGAAAAAAATCAGAGGGGGCTATATCAATCTTACCTCTCTATCCATATTCTTGGCTCCTTGCCCTTGGCAATGCACAGATTTAAATCAAGTTCCTCTAAAAAAGAAAAATAACGTTTGAAAACTAGAATGAATTGGCCCAACCTTAAAATATATTAAGCAATTTGGGGTTGGAGAGCCGGAGCTTTCATGCTTCTTAACGGTCCCGAGAAATCTCGGTATAAAATGAGCAGGATTTAATTTGGTGTCTTGTTTCTATCGCTGTTGTTCTTGTTTATTTAACCAGATTCCTAATAAACTGAGAGTTGGCGAATATTCACCAGACGTTTTACAAAGATAATCTCTAGAAAAAGTTCAGACTTCATCTAGATAGCCTAAACTTCTTGTTTTTATGTCAAAAAGGTAACCAATACAGACCGCAATGAAGTTATGATGAAAGCTCACTGTCACATACTTTAGGTGGTTGTGCTATACTTATATTTTTAAAAGTTAGGATCCAGTTTTGCAACTTTCATAAATAGATAATATCTGATAAAGTCAATGATAAGTATGTGTATTTAGAGGACAAGCAGATTAAATCCTGAGAACATTATCCAGCAAAGATATGGAGTACACAAATTTTAATAAAAGGAAATGTGTTTTTAGCACTCTTAAAACTCCTTAGAGTCATACGATAAAGTATCTAGTTGAATCTGCAAGCTATTCCATTTGATATTATTTCAATTGATAAAAATATTACACTAGATTACGGCGTGGAGCTAGATGGTTATAATGAATGGGAAATTTTAAAAATGAGCGATAGTCCAGCATTTATTAGATTATTACGAACATTCTCCAAAGGAGCCTTTTAAATTTGGAATTTGCCCTTTTGCACTGGTTATCAGTATTTGGCAGTAAAACAAAGTACATCGTGTATGAGTGGTACATGTGACACATTTTTTTATTCAGAGCTCTCAATCATAGCTTTAAAAAGTCATTTCACAAAGTGTATATAAGCATCTTATATGGCTTTCAGTGTTGAAAAATGAAATATTATAGAACTTCTAAGGTTAATTAAAAAATTCTTACTTATTTATGTAAGATTAACATAAAAGTTTCAAAGATTATATTGATTACTTCCTAAAATAAGGGAAATACATGTAACATTACTTAAAAGCAAAAATCAACATCAGAATGAGAAAATTTTAGCCAATAACAGAAATTGAAGGTTGACTAGCTTATTTTTTCCACAGCACAGTGACTGAAGAGTAATTCAAAAGCATATATTTCTGGGAACATATGGGAAATGAAAATCTGTTCTTTTTTCTTTCCTTGAATTTAGTATTAATCTAATAGTTAATATTTGTCTTTAAAAGGTTTGTAATTTATAAAGTTGCTCATGTTTTTGTCATCGTGGATTTATTTGCTAACATATAATTTAAAATGTAATAAGCCAAAAAAGCACAGATTGCCTCTATTAACATCAATAAAATGCTCAGGAAACTTTCAAATAAGGCACCACTTCCCTCCCTTCACAGAAGGCTGAATTTTAAACATCTTTCTGCACCGATATTCAGAAAGCAGTGTTGTGTGCAATGAGAGACTCAGTACAATTATGAAATAAGATCAAAATCCTTGCATTATATCACATAATTATGTGATTGAATTTAGAAAGTGGTTTGATAGAACCAAGCGGTGCAGCATTTAAAAAGCAGCTCTCACTAGAAGAGAAGTCAAGCTGTATATTCCTCTGTCATGAGCAAAGGGTATGGCCTAGAGTCCCTCCCTGCTTGGCAATCTCTGAAAGCTTTGATCAGGCATTATTTGCCATAAGGAATCTCAGTCTCCACATTTCTACAAGCTGGAATTTGGGGTTTGTAGTCAGATCCCTTACAACTGGGAGACAACCTACAGAACAGAGGTGATGAAGAACAACGGACCCACCTTCAGCCAGAGAAATATCAGTGACATGTGACCTGGCTGTAGGGCATAAAAAGATGTGGGCAACGTGTTGGCTCTGATCTAAATATTGAGACATGAATGTGTGTCCCCAGTGCAATTCCGGGGGAATTTGATTTTAGAAGACCTCGAAAGTGGGAGGAATTGCTCAAAGGTCATAAACAACCCTTCAACTACCAAGAGGTGTGGCAAGGACAGTGGCTGGAGAAAATAGGTCTCAGGCAAGTTCTAGAGGCCAGAGACACCAAATCAGTTAAAAGGCTGCACAGGCATCAGAGTGTACTTTGAGGAACGGGCAGCACTAGGAATCAAATACGAAAAGATAGGTGGAAGAAAACCATGAACACAGAATGGCAGTGAAAATGAGAAGACATTTTCATAGAACAATGGCTAGAATTTGTCAGCAAATAATAATTTCAATGAGTTAGTGATTAATGAGCAGCCACCAGACCCCCCGGAAAAACCTATCACTTGGGTAAGTGGCAAAATGTGGAGCCAATCAGAGAACCGATGTATTTGATAAATAATCTGTGTGTCCTACATTGTCAAGAAAGTCCAAAGTAGCTTCCCTTTCAAAAGAAAAGGAAAATTACAGTTATAAATGCTATAAATTTACTAAAAACTTTGGTTTTGGCCTTTTAGGAACACTTAATAAACTAATGAGCACCATTACAAACTTCCCCCTATGGCTGCAAATTGAACCACAGTGTAACGTGTTTGTTGAATTCAAGTGCCCTACAATAGGAATCATCTTTTGAAAGAGTCTCAAACTTGCAAGCAGGTTGATAAGTGCAATATAACCTGCTTGCCGGTAACCTGTTGACCACATTCTACCGAGTCCAGGTTAGTAAGCACCTGCTAATTTGTACAGTCACTTTTTTTTTGGTTTATTTGTCTTCATGCTGATTTTAAAATGGCTCTCACTGAAATTGTTGACCTTGTATTGCAAATTAAATCCTGGAATTGCCAAATCTCTGACAACTGGTTCATTGCTTCCAGAGAAGGGAATTAACATGGCTACAGCTGTCATTCCATTGCATTTTTCTTCTCAAGCAGACCAGCAAGGGCAAAGATGGTGTTAGACAGAGGTCGCAAGCCAGATTCTGTCTGCAAACATGTTTTGTTTGACTTCCACCGTGATTTAAAGCATGTTGAGCCAATATTTAAAAATAAGAAAATTGCAGTAAAAATCTGACTTCTGGCTTCTCTTGGAAAATTAAAAATATTTGGCTACATAGAGTGGACATCCGTAGAGAGTGGTGGCAGCACACCCTTTACCCAGTTCTCTCCAGGTCTACAGTTCCCTCTCTCCCTATTGCAGACCACAAACCAGAATGTAAGCTCCATAAGGGCAGGGCTCGTTTAATTCATTGCTGCATCCTCATAGCCTGACAAGTAGCAGGTGCCTGATAAGTATTTAACATTGAATGAAATGATCTCAGGGGCAGATAGGGAAATGAAATGTGGCTTTAAGACAACAGGCAGTGCCCAGGAACTGTCACAATACATGTCTCAATTAAAAAAAGTATCTCTGCAGAGCAAATAAATTCTGCGAGTCCTCAGGCAGAGAGAGAGAGAGTACCCACATATCATTCTGCTTGCACTACTGTTTTCTTATAAGGAAATATTTCCCTGTATCCCTGCCTCTATCAAAAGTAGAGCCACGTGTGTCAATGAAAATAAGAGTGAACATAGACCTAGCATATTCCACTTATTTATATTTTTTGCCTGGCCCCTACAGGCATCTGAATTTGAAACTTCTGGGAGAGAGATGAGAGTAGGCCTAATACCATGACAATGAACTGCTCTACCATACTCCACCTTCATCCTTAGCAGTAGTTTTATGCACTACCATCTAAATAAATATTAAAAAATAAATATAAAGGGGAATATGAAACCTACTTGGAAAGTCACTAGTTAAACCTAATACGTTATCACTCTACATAAAGAGTCAGAATAACAGTGTGGAATGAACTGATGTTTTCAGCTAGAAAGGCATTGGTTCATATCTCTTGCACATGGGGAAGTTGCTTAACCTCCAAAAGTCTCCAATTCTTGTGCATGATAGTTGACAAAATTTAAAAATTAGGTATGTCAAACTTCCAGCCTCCACTTAAGGTATAGAAAGCTGGAAAGGGTGTTGTTCCCAGACATAAAACAAAAAATATCCAGAATATATGCAAATTCACAGCTTTTATTAAACCCCTCAGAGAACTGAAGTCACAGCATAACCAACTAACCTAAAATCTAGGGAAAGATAGGTGCCTCCAAGGAGTGACAGGATGCAGGCACTTGCTTACTGGAGCAGACATGAGACCCCTTGTGAGCCAGTAAGAAGAATATAGCTAAAAGTTGTTAACAAATTTCTGAAGTCTGAATGTGGCCTCATGTGAGAACAGAGAACTTGTGGGATCTTCAAACAGAAGGGGAATTCAGAACCGCTCACAGGCTCTTCTCTGTGGACCTCCTGGGTTCTCAGAAGAAAGTCTGGGAGCAAGGTGAGAGTTCAGAGTAGTGGCTCTAAATGGGGAGCAGTTGTTACACCAAGAGGATATTTGGCAATGTCTGGAGACATTTTTGATAGCCATGTTTCGGTGCATGGCTGCTATACTAGTAGCATCCAGTGGTTAGACGCCTGGAATATTGCTAAACATCCTGCAGTACATGCACTAGCACCCTATAACAAAGAATTCTTCAGTACAAAATGTCAATAGAGCTGCTGTTGAGAAACACTGGTCAAGAAAATCCTCCCTTGTGATGGAACAGAAGCCACCGCAAAAAAGCACAAAGCCCCAACCAGATACTCCACTTTTATCTCCTCTCAGGAGAAAAGCCTTACTTTTCTGGGGAAAGGCAGCAAACCCTGTTGTCCCTCAGCTGAGGTTAAGACCCATCCCAGCTGGGAGAAGAGAACATAAAAATACCCTCTAGCCCTGGGGTAGGGGCAAGAAAACATCCTGGCCCAAACTATTAGAAGTCTCCCACTTAAGAAAGAGGAGCAGGATCACTGAGATGGCTCCACCTTTGAGACCCAGAGACCCAGCTCCTGCCTGAAGAGAATACTCACCCACCTACCATCAGGCAACCAAGCGTTGAGTAGCAAGTAACAT